GAGGCGGCCGGCGTGATGCTGACCACATCACCCATCTTGTGCCGTTGGTCTATAAAAATATAGGTCTAGCCCTATATGCCCTATACGCCTAAAGGCGTGGAAAGGGTCCTTTACTTTTTACTGGTGATTAGACCAACTACAGCTTAGAGGGAGCACTGGTGATTAGACTAACTACAGCTTAGAGGGAGCACTAGTGATTAGACTAACTACAGCTTAGAGGGATCACTGGAGATTAGACTAACTACAGCTTAGAGGGAGCACTGGTGATTAGACCAACTACAGCTTAGAGGGAGCACTGGTGATTAGACTAACTACAGCTTAGAGGGAGCACTGGTGATTAGACTAACTACAGCTTAGAGGGAGCACTGGTGATTAGACTAACTACAGCTTAGAGGGAGCACTGGTGATTAGACTAACTACAGCTTAGAGGGAGCACTGGTGATTAGACTAACTACAGCTTAGAAGAAGCACTGGTGATCTGACCAGCTACAGCTAATCAATCATCATCATCATCAGACAGCAGGTCCTGTGCAGAATGTCGCTCTCCTCACCATCTGCTGAAATAAAATGGTTCTCTCGCCAGCTCTCCTGCCTCATGTACTTTCATATTCAAAGATTGAGTTTTATTCTGCGCACTTCTTCCTGTTAGTTGTCCCGTTACCCTAATTCCTGGCACCATGCCTTCTACTATTATTCTTTCCAATCCGCCGTGGCTCTTGATATAACCAAAATATTTCAGCTTCCGAGACAAGAGGCTGTTTATCAGCCAATCTTGCTTGATGTTCAAATCTTTTAAAATATCAGTATTTATTCTCTTCTTGATCCAAAGTATTCTGAGAATCTTTCTAAAGCATTTCAGCTCAAAAGCTCCTATCTTCTTTCTTAACTCTTTGAGTCCCAGGGGATTTAGCATCACAGGCCCAGGGGGTAGTAAAGAAAGTTAATAAAATTGGCGCATCATGCGCTCATTGGGCTTCTAGGTAGGAACCTTTGAAAGTATGATGCTTTTCCTTGGGACTCAAAGAGTTAAGGACTGGGAGCTTATTGATACATAATTATTTATAAAAGTAAAAAGTAAAAGACCCTTTTCTATGCCTTTCAGGCGTATTGGATATATAGGGCTAGACCTATATTTTATAGACTAACCGCACAAAATGGGTGATGTGGTCAGCATCACTCCGGCCACCTTTACTTCCCAGGACTGAACATGGTACCCACTCAAGGCTGGGTCAACCTGGGAGCCAAGGTCATTTTAAAAAAAGTCTGGCTCTGTCAGGGAGTGAACCCTTGACCTTCTGATCCGCAGGCAGGCGTCTAGTTGCTACGCCAGGGCAACTCCCACATAGTTATTTAAGGTCCCAGGAAATGCATTCCATTTAATGCTTTACTCTGTTCTTATTTATTGATTACTCCTTTTTTGTATCTTTATATTTTTTTGAAACAAACACAAACATTTGAAACAAATAATGTAGACAAATACATTTTAAAACAATTTATTAGTTTCCTGTGTAAAAGTTGTTTCGTAAAGGAAATTCTGGAAATTCCTTCGCGTTCAGGACCCAGATGTTTCATCATTCTTAAGGCAAAAGGGTTAAAATTCAACAACACGGAAACGTGCATGTGTTAACTATGTGCCATACAGACCAATGAAAACAACACAATATTCCCACTGTATGTGTTAACTATGTGTCATACAGATCAGTGAAAACAACACAATATTCCCACTGCATGTGTTAACTATGTGCCATACAGACCAATGAAAACAACACAATATTCCCACTGTATGTGTTAACTATGTGTCATACAGACCAATGAAAACAACACAATATTCCCACTGTATGTGTTAACTATGTGTCATACAGATCAGTGAAAACAACACAATATTCCCACTGTATGTGTTAACTATGTGCCATACAGACCAATGAAAAGACACAATGATGTGTTAACTATGTGTCATACAGATCAACACACATATTCCCACTGTATGTGTTAACTATGTGTCATACAGATCAGTGAAAACAACACAATATTCCCACTTCATGTGTTAACTATGTGTCATACAGACCAATGAAAACAACACAATATTCCACCTGTATGTGTTAACTATGTGTCATACAGACCAATTAAAACAACACAATATTCCCACTTCATGTGTTAACTATGTGTCATACAGATCAGTGAAAACAACACAATATTCCCACTTATGTGTTAACTATGCGTCATACAGACCAATGAAAACAACACAATATTCCCACTGTATGTGTTAACTAGGTGTCGTACAGACCAATGAAAACAACACAATATTCCTACTTAATGTGTTAACTATGTGTCATACAGATCAGTAAAAACAACACAATATTCCCACTGTATGTGTTAACTATGTGTCATACAGACCAATGAAAACAACACAATATTCCTACTTAATGTGTTAACTATGTGTCATACAGATCAGTAAAAACAACACAATATTCCCACTGTATGTGTTAACTATGTGTCATACAGACCAATGAAAACAACACAATATTCCCACTGTATGTGTTAACTATGTGCCATACAGACCAATGAAAACAACACAATATTCCCACTGTATGTGTTAACTATGTGTCATACAGACCAATGAAAACAACACAATATTCCCACTGTATGTGTTAACTATGTGTCATACAGATCAGTGAAAACAACAAAATATTCCCACTGTATGTGTTAACTGTGTCATACAAACCAATGAAAACAACACAATATTCCCACTGTATGTGTTAACTATGTGTAATACATATCAATGAAGACAACACAATATTCCCATTGTATAGATTTGAAAAACAAATGAATGACAAGCTATATTCATATAATACATCTTAATTATGAACTATATAGATTCACAAAAATAAAACAAACAAATTCCCATGCTGCATTTTATTCATGTGTTTTACATAAATGTATGAATAAAAATATATGAAAACCCATTATCCCAAATGTTGGTTTAATTTGTGAGTTATTATCTATCTATAAACACAAGCTGCCCTGTTTGTTGATTTTATTTGTGAGTTATTATCTATCTATAAACACAAACTGCCCTGCTTGTTGGTTTTATTTGTGAGTTATTATCTGTCTATAAACACAAGCTGCCCTGCTTGGTGGTTTTATTTGTGAGTTATTATCTGTCTATAAACACAAGCTGCCCTGCTTGGTGGCTTTATTTGTGAGTTATTATCTATAAAATCAAGCTGTCCTGATTGGTGGTTTTATTTGTGAGTTATTATCTGTCTATAAACTCAAGCTGCCCTGCTTGGTGGTTTTATTTTTGAGTTATTATCTATCTATAAACACAAACTGCCCTGCTTGGTGGTTTTATTTGTGAGTTATTATCTATCTATAAACACAAACTGCCCTGCTTGGTGGTTTTATCTGTAAGTTCAGATCTAAGGGAAAAAAACAATTGTTTCCACTCATATGATTCATTTTGGGTCCACGGATTAAATAAAAGAAAAAAATCCCACTTGTATGTTTTATTGTAGCAATAAAACTTGTTTTAAAAAAAGATTCTAGTTAGTAATTTATATTATATTATTGGCACCTTTCCGTCTTTCAGACAATTGTGTAATACTGTGCTATAAGAACTCACAGTCCATTGCGATGGCGAGTGTGACTAGCAAGACCCGCCCAAGTTGAGAAGTCTTCCACAATGGTAGCACTGGATTTCAGGAACGTTCTTGTCAACATTTGTGTTTTGTGTGTTTCTTTTTAGAGGCGCAGCTCTCATCCTTTCTGCAATCATTTCTTCCTTCAACCTCATTCCCTTCCTGATGTGCCTCTTCCACAAAACACAGTTCATGGTCAGTAAAATACAAGAACCCTGACAAACAACTATCTCACTTGTATTACATTTTGTGAGCTTTTATACAACCATCATTTTTGTTGTCCTATTGTGCCATTATATGTGACCTAGGACTCACATCTACCCCTCCAGTCCATTCTATTCTGTGCAATCAATTTAATATCCAGCACCTTTGGCCTCTTTTATCAACATTTGTCTTAGGGTTTCATTTTGGTGTGCTAGCTTCCTGAATTCCTTTTTTTTCCCTATTTTAATGTCCGTTGATTATCTGCTCATTTCTTCTCATGATGTGTCCAATATAGCGCCATCTTCTCTCTCTTGTAACCGCTGTTACCAATGGTTGCCCAGATATTTCTTTTATTCTGTCACTTTTTTGAATTCATCCAATTTTATGTTCAACATTTTACACAAGCATTTGTCTTCTAATGCATTTAAAGTTTCGATCAATGTCTTAAGTCAGTGGCTCTCAACATTCCTAATGCCACGACCCTTTAATACAGTTCCCTCATGTTGTGGCGACCCCCAAATAATAACTTTCCTTCATAACTTCAATGAATATGTTTTCCTATGGTCTTAGGCGACCTCTGTGAAAGAGTCATTTGACCCACAAAAGATTCGCGACCAGCAGGTTGAGAACCGCTGTCTTGAGTGGTTCCCCAACTTTCAGTGGCATATGTTTAAACCAAAATAGCATTGAACTTGAAAGTATGTTACTCAGTTTTAAAAGTATACAATTTAAAGTTCTATGTTTTTTTTTAAAGGCTTTTAAAAGCTGCTGAAGCCTTGCCAATGTGTGTCATAATTTGTTTTTATAGTAGAAGTAATTTAAACAAAAAATATCTTGTTCAACCTATCTGGGTTATAACTGGGATCTATAGGGTATTTTTTCTTCTATTTCAAAAAAGTATATTCTTGTCAGCCAATGATCAATTACTTTCTTTGTATTTCCTTCAAAATCAAAATTATTATCTAAACAAGTAAACTGATCAGCTACTTTATTTTTTAGTTTCATTAAAAAAAAAAAAAAAAAAGTATATCACTTGAATAATTTATTTTCTGAGTTCCACGGATCCTTAAAACAAAGATTTAAATGTAAAAGTTGTGCGAACATCCACTGTTAAAATTCCTCATCATTAAAAGTTAACACGGAATGGCCACAAACAGCTTATTCACATCGATCCACAGCAGACCACTGGTCCAAAGTTGGGCCAATTTTCTTCTTCAGGGGCTCCGTCACCTCTGATAGTTTCCGCACAACATCCTGTGGAGCAAAGAGATACAAGTGAATTATTCTCGAATGAACGGCTGTTTGTGAACCCTCTGGATGTGAATTTAAACTCTTTTGGTACCAGACAACTTCTCATGGGTTTATTTATGACATCAGTTTCAATGCAGTTGGGTGTTCTATACAGGCCATTGCAGAACTCCCAGTTGTTTTGGCTGTTGTGGTTTTTTTAGAAAAATTTACGTTCAACTGTTTGTCACTGCTCTGAACGGTTGTCTCTTGATACCACTGTCAACTGTCGAAAACAATGCAAGGCGGCCTGCTGCCAAATTGCCTGCAGCTGGGATCGAATCTGGCATTATGAAGTACATTCACAGAATGTATGACAAGACCCCCATGCATTCCTTCCCTCTCAACAACTTTAAGAAAATGTGATTAAAAGGAGGAGGAGAAAAAGACAAATCTCAAGCTTTATTGACAGCAACTTGGTGAAACAGAAAGTACAGAGACATGTTTTGGTCACAATCTGTCCCTAATCTATAATTAAATGCACGTGTTTTCCTAGTAATTCGGTTTTTAACAATAGATGTAGAAAATAATTATGAAAACAAAAACGTCCTTGGCTTTTTGTTTCAAGATTAGTTTTCCGTTGACGGTACTTTCTTATTAGACGACCACAAATGGGGAATAATCCACAGTTCACAGGACAGTCAAATATTTCAAGGGGTGGTAGATTAAGCGTATAGTTTTGGTTAGGGATAGGGTTAAGGTTAGGGATAGGGTTAAGGTTAGGGATAGGGTTAAGGTTAGGTAAAAGCACGAAACCTTGGCCTTGGAATAAAAGCGTTAAAGCACAGAAAACCCCCTAAAATATTATACTGTCTTGTGACGTCATTTGTGGTCGGCTAAAAAGAAAGCACCTAGTTTATTTATTATTAAACTAAAAAATGATAGCAAAACAGATTATTACTAAAACAAATATACTCATTTTCAAAACTACTTGAGGCTTCCCTTGAAACTTTCTTGCACCGCCATGTTGAAAACCACTGCTATCCATGGTATGTAGGGTCACAGAAGTATACTGGCCCACTTTTCTTAAAACCTAGTGTTTAAATACGCATAGTGGGTAATATTCTTCGGAAATGACCTTGCCTCCCACGTCAACCCACCCTATAATGGCTGAAATAAGCCTGAAATAATGACAGACGGGGTGATGCGGATTATATCGCCCAGCCAGAGCCAATTTGTCTATAATATATCTTCTTCTTCACATATACTAGCTGTAAACTCCGGCGTAATGTTCTGGTTGTTTGTCCACCTCTGAACATTAGTCTTGTTCTAGAACCTGAGTGCTGCGTGCAAATCCATTTTACAAATATGCCTTATTTATATGCAGATTGTTGGTTCCTTGCCTCTCAGGCAGATGTACTCCAACTGTGAAGGAAGCTCCCAACTATTTGACTCTTATGACAAGCTTGTTGGAGAGGCAGTGGGTCTATTCTTGTTTTCCCCCACAAGGGTGCCCCCGGAACTCGCATGGGGAGCCTATAATATACAAGTCTACCATCCTATGCCCAATGTGCCACTGGCCTGAGATAACAGGAACCTATGAGATTCTTAACCACTCTGAGTTAAAACGTAGGTCTTGGAGTACTGAAACACACCCTTCCTTAGACTCTCTGTCTCTCTTCCCCAAAAATGAAAGTTGTCACTTACACTATCCAGGGTGATAATTCTGCTGTTTTCAACCACCTGTTGTGCTGAGCTGGCTCCAGAAATGACCACATCCAATCCATCCTGTTGGAGAATCCAAGCCAGGGCAGCCTTGGACATCTCAACGCCAGCTTCTTCACAGATCTGACTGATGCCTTTTAGTGCCTGTATGATGTTACAGAACAATGCTTAGAATACCTTGGACAGCCACAAAGAGCAACCAAGAGGTTTTAAAAGAGGCCGGAGATCGAAGACAACTTATCACTGACATCAGAAGGAGACAGTCATCATTTTTCGGCCATGTTATGAGAAGAGGGAAAATAGAACATGTTGTGACCACTGGAAAGATCTGTGGAAGGAGGGATAGAGGAAGACAACGAGAGAAGATGCTTGACAGTCTTGTTGCATGGCATGGAGGTGTGTCGGCAGACGAACTGATACATGCTGCAGGAGATCGCGGATTATGGAGAGGCATGATCGCCCACGCCAGTCGGCAAGGCACCTGATGATGATGATGATGATGAGAAGACAGTGACAGCCAGCTTGAGGTCATTGTTCCAAGCAGTTCATTAAATATCAGATTATGATTAAATGAATAACTGAGGAAAGGAAGAGGCTAGAGCCCTTGCATGCTGAGATAATGGTCTCAGTTCAGTCCTTAGAAAAAGGCAAGATTTTATGTGACCAGTGTAGTTCTGGGGTTGACAAAGCTTCACAGAAATGTGTACCAGATGTCTAAAAATTTCAAGGTACTATCCAGAAAGGTGACAAGGAAGGAAACTTTTCAGGATATTGGTTGGGAAGAAATGTGAGAAGGAAGAAATGTAAGAAGGAAGAAATGTGAGAAGAAAGGTATCTTTTTAACATTTTGTTTGGAAAGAAAGGTGAAAAGAAAGGGGATATTTAGGGTATTGTCTGGGATTATAGGGAAGGAGGAAGGAAACTTTTTAGGGTATTATCTGGGAAGACAGGTGAGGAGGAAGGGAACTTTTCATGGTATTATCTGGGAAGACAGGTGAGGAGGAAGGGAACTTTTCATTGTATTTTTTTCGAAGGGTTTTTGTCAACATATTGTGTGGGAAGAAAGGTGACAAGAAACAGAGCTTTTCAACATTCTGTTTGGAAAGAATGGTGAGGAGGAATGGCAACTGGGCGCCTTGCCTTACATGTTGTGTCCTTGAATATCTGAAATACTATTACTTACATCCCAGTGGTAATATAGTTCAGACTACTTATGGCAATCTCAGACGTGGTGAATTTCTGTTGTGAAGAACAATTTATTTATCCCTGGCAATGTTTTTTGCTTGTACTCTTATTTGGATAAGGAGAATTTCTGATAAGAAAAACAATTTTTTGGGTCAACGTTAAGCTCTTCTTGTAAGATCTACACTGTATTTGTTTTGGGACTATCTTGAATAATGAAGATGAAACAACTGTATTGGCACTTTCTTTATGTAAATCAGAGATGTAAGGTTGGATTTTTCTTCAACTTCACTGGCTGTAAATGCTATTTTTAAAAAATGTATGTAGACTGTTGGTTCCTGAAACCACATGCAGGGCGGAGGAAAAACAGAACAAAGATTTGTTAAATAGCAATCCAGCAACAGTGGTAGCATAGTGGTTAGTTAGACACTTACCAGCTGGCCTGAAGGTCTAGGTTTTGAATCTGCATAGACACCGATTTTGTTTTAAAACTGATCTTGGCTAACAGGTCGACCCAGCCTAAAATGGTTTTTCAGTGGGTAATGAACAGGCAGACAGACTGGCTGGATCTGCACCATGGGTGGTGAATTGATACATGACAAGGCAGATGTGGTCAAGGCCCTTTGGGAACAAGCAACCGAATTAGTAGAGAAACAAGATTATTACGGCTGGAGAGAATGAGGCACCTGGGTGTAACCAGAGGATATGGCCGGCTCACTACACTCAAAGGAAAGGCAAGACTTACATATAACCAGATTGTGACTGGTACCATCAGTATTAGAACTCTGCCCTGACTGCTGAAGATGAGGACGGAGCCCAACTGAAATTGTTGCCTCACTGACACCAGGTTGTAGCTCAGTGTCATGGTTTTCTGTGTTTGTCCTCTGCTTCTCTGACTGCTTGGGCCATGGATGTGTTCATCTTTTTTGCAGGTTTCTGTTACACCAACTGAGCTGAGGTGAGTCAAGAATTGAAATCACAGCAATCGGGGCATTCCCATATGCGCTGCATCCCATCCTCAGCAGCCAGCGAAGAGTTCTAATACTAGTGGTGCCGGACGTAGTCTGGTTGTATGTCCAACTTGCCTTTCCTCTGAGCCTAGTGTGCCTGCTGAATCCTCTGATCACACCCAGGTGTATCATTCGCTCCAGCCAATAATAATCTAGTTGCTCTTCTGATTCTTCAATTAACACCATTTACCTATCTATCTAGATGGCTATCCAGGAAAAATTTACATCTGCAGCCGTGGCACGCATGTCCTACCAGACCACCTTCCACACACGGGCACACATGTGAGCGCACGTACACACAATCCACACACAGGCACACATGTGAGCGCACGTACACACAATCCACACACAGGCACACATGTGAGCGCACTTGCACAAGTGGTGTACTGGGGACAATTAATGCACGTACACACAATCCACAGGCACACATGACGCAAGGTAACACATTCTTCACACAGGCTTTCATTCGCCAGCGCACGTACACACTATCCAGCACACAGGTCTCTTGTATAAATTTCACGTACACACAATCCACACGCAGGCCATAGATGTGAGCGCACGTACACACAAAAGGTTTGCCACAATGTGGCACACATGTGAGCGCACTGGAGTACAATCTCTGCACACAGGCACACATGTGAGCGCACGTACACATACGCCATCTTGAGGCACACATGTGGTTACGCAATCGTACACACAATCCACAAGGCAGGCATAATGACTGTGAGCTGCACGTACACACAATCGTCTTGTGCAAGGGCTGGTGGTTACCTCATCAATTTCCTCTTCTGCTCCCGTTCGATATCATGTCATGCTAAACATTGAGTGTACTGCCTGGAAAAATAGGATTGTGCATTAAGGTCGCCACCAGTCCCCCATTTAGACTCAAGGTAACCTTATTCTTCTTCTTTGCTGGGAGAGGTCGTTCGCCAGAAATTCAGTTTGTCTTTCTGCTCCACAATCACAGGCAGCAGATTCTTTTGTGCCTATCCTGTACAAGCGTGCTCGAAGACCATGTCCAGAAGTTTACGTTCCACTATTGTTCTTTCTGGCCAAAAGGTTTGCCTCACTCTGTCTGTAATCTCCATTTGGTGCAGTCCCGCTTGTAAGACTGCTCTGCGCTGTTTGGGGCACCTTGTCCACATGTGGTGGATGGCTGATACGCCTATCTTGCCAACTCATCTGCTACATGTCCTTTATGTACAGTCGGCTTGGTGCCAAGTTTCTGAGGCAGAGGAGAATGACTTGTTCTGATCTGTCCATATCAAAAATAGTTTGTCTTGTTTTGGGCTGGTGGTTTCTGATTGATTTAATGATTCTTTTCTTTTGGTGGTGTGTGACTGGTACATCTGGCTGCACTTTTGTCACACCTTCTCCTGCCAGTTGATCAGCTTTCTCATTTCTAGGCACTCCACAATGTGATGGTATCCACTGCATTACTCAAGGTAACAAATGTAGTATTACATTCCCAGTGCAGGTACTGGGATGCCCCTATCTGGGAGGGGGAAAAAGTGAAATGACCAAATGTGCCTCAACAAGCACGTCATAACAGGAGATAATTAAAGGTTTGCTGAAACTGGACATGTGAGTCCAAAGGGCATAGATATCACAGACTAACAGTAAAGGGAGCTTCCACGGTGTAGCAGCAATATGCTCGCTTGTGAATGGGAAAGTCGCGGGTTCAAGTCCGATGAAGCCGGACGTTTCCGTGTGGATTCTGGAGCTCTTCTGTAGGAAAAACAAGAATAGACCCACTGCTCCCATACATAGAATCACTAGCTCCACAACAAGCATTTTGTAACTGGGGACTTCCTTCGAAGTCAAAGTACATTTGCCGGAGTGGCAAGGAACACCCAACTGCACACAAACAAGTAAGTAAAATGGATGTACACAAAAAACATCAGGTATAGTCCTGGGCAGTAAAGGTGGTCGGCGTTATAGTGACCACATCATCCACCGAGTGCCGACTGGTCTATGAAAAATATAGGTCTAGTCTGATATGTCAAATAGGACTAAATGTGTGTAAAAGAGTCCTTTATCTGTCTGTCTAACACTAAACCATCCTTTTTTTTTAAAAATATGTCTGTCTGTCTAACATTAAACCATACTTTTTTTAAAATATGTCTGTCTGTCTGTCTAACACTAAACCATCCTTTTTTTTAAAAATATGTCTGTCTGTCTGTCTAACACTAAACCATCCTTTTTTTTAAATATGTCTGTCTGTCTAACACTAAACCATCCTTTTAAATCTGTTGGACCCTGTCAACGCAACTACTGCTCTTGTGCCTTAACAGCACATGACTGTTAGTATATTCTTTAATCTTTAGTCTAAGAAACTACAGAAATCTGGCTAGATGTGTTAACACGTAGCACAGTGTATGTTTTTTATATGGTGGATATATGTGCCACTTATTGTTACAGTAGTTAATTGTCCTCATCCTGGGACTGAGAGTTAAGGGCCAATGGAGAAGGTGGAAAAGGAAAAGAGACAGAGGTATAAAACCTCTCTTCTACTGCCTTTTGTCTCATAACAGGGCATAGGCTTTCCTTGGCGGTTGGAAATCGAAAGAGGCAGCCTAACGGCGCTGCCCAGGTAAAATTTGGAGTCACAAATATTTCAGGCTCATCGCTGCTGCTACAGAGCCTGTGCACTGTACTGAGCTTCTTTGGATTCAGACTTGAGTTAGAAGAGAACAGAGCACTTATGGGTTACTACTCCTGTGCCATGATGTTGATCCGTTATTCAAAATCTCTTGAGACGTGCTTGGTAGCCAGTGTCGCACCAACCCTTCTTAGAGGCCTCAAACTTTCAGTACGGGTTCCAGGGCCCCATTCTGTGGCAACAAGAATAGATTCACTGCCCTCGTAACAATCATGTTATAAAAGTTATCTAATTAGGGTGTTTCTTTCAAAGTTGGAGTGCATTAGCCCGAGAGTCAGGGAACCAAAAGTCTGCTTACAAAAAAGCCACAGCTATAAAATGGATGTGTAAGTTTCTTCTTCTTCTTCGCGTTCACCAGCTGTACACTCTGGCGTAAAGTTCTGGTTTTTCGTCCCCTTCTGGACTGCAGTCCTGCTCCAGAACCTGAGTGTTGCATGTGCATCAGTTTTACAGATCTGATTCTATTGACTGCAGACTGCTGGTTCCTTGCCTCTCAGGCAGATGCACTCCGACTTCAAAGGAAGCTCCCCAGTTAGTCGACTCTTACGACATGCTTTTGGGGAGGCAGTGGGTCTATTCTTGTTTTCCCCACAATAGGGCCCCGGAACCCACACGGGGGAATGTGTAAGCAAAGTTCTTAAACAAGACAGTCGGTGAACTTGAATGAGAAGATACCACAAAAAATAAAGACAGACATACATACAAACCTTTCCCACCCCCGTGGAGGTTCGGGGCCCCATTGCAAGGAAAACAGGAATAGACCCCCTGCCTGCCCAAAAGCGTGTTGTAAGAGAATTAATTAGGAGCATCCTTCAAAGTCGGAGTACATCTGCCTGAGAGGCAAAGAACCAACAATCTGCATGCAAATGAGTCAGACCTTAAAACGAATGTGCATGCAACACTCAGGTTCTGGAACAGGACTACAGTCCAGAAAAGGACAAACAACCAGAATTTTCTACTGGGGTTTACAGCCGGTGAACGTGAAGAAGAAGAAAAAGAAGAAGGAGATATCTTTCCCATAAAAACTTATAGTCTATATGTCTGTCATCAACTACAGGTTAATTCTGTAACTGTAAGCCGGTGAACGTGAAGAAGAAGAAGAAGAAGAAGAAGAAGGAGATATCCTTCCCATAAAAACTTATAGTCTATATGTCTGTCATCAACTACAGGTTAATTCTGTAACTAAATATAAATTTACACGAACACTCACGAGTCTTTTGAGAAGAGTTTACCCCGCCTTCGGCCTTCAGGAACATCCGAGAGTTTCTTAAACTTGCCAGTTAGGAGACCCTGCTGAAGTGGTGAGTATGCCAGAACGCTGATACCATTTTTTATGCATTCAGGAATAATGCCGAGCTCTGGAGATCGCCACAGCAGATTGTAGCCAATCTGAAAAAAGTGAAAGACTTACTCAGACAAAAGTGTATTCACAAAGCAGATTGTAGTTAGTTAGTTAGTTTAGTTAGCTGGTTAGTTAGTTAGTTAGTTAGTTTAGTTAGTTTAGTTAGTTAGTTAGTTAGTTAGTTAGTTAGTTAGTTAGTTAGTTAGTTTAGTTAGTTAGTTAGTTTAGTTAGTTAGTTTAGTATAGTATAGTATAGTCAGTCAGTCAGTCAGTCAGTCGTTCAGTCAGTCAGTCAGTCAATCAGTTAGTTAGTTAGTTGGGCTATCATCATTGCACTCCGGACATATCCACAAGTGCTCAGATCCTCCCCTCAGTATGAACCGCAGCACCCAGTGGCTAATGGTACCAGTTCTATGTTCATTAACAAGTCCTCTTTTGTGCCTGATGTGTGTCTTCAGTAGCTTGTAGATAATCACCAATCCCAAAGCAACACAGCGGCATATTTCTTCTCATATCCTGTCTACAATTAACTTAACTAATCAGTTTACATTTTTCATCCCTTATTTAGGGAATACTGAATATGAGACTTTTTCCAGTAGAACATCTTGGAGAAAGGCAAGAGGAGGACCAAGAAAGAGATGGCTAAATGGTGTAACTAAAACCTGCAAAAAGATGAACAAATCCATCACTCAAGCCAGCCGAGAAGCGTGAAACAAATACAGAGTGAGACAACAACGAAGAAGATTTAGGGAATGCCCTTCATTTGTTTTTCTCTCCATCCATCGTATACTATCAAACTGTCTCTGAAGATGTGGGCACACAGAAGAATAGATCATATTTCATGGAAACAAAAAACAGTCCAATACAAAGGTTCTGGAAAAGCTACAAATGAAAAGAGAATTATTGAAAGAAATAAAAATTGACAACTGAAATACTTCGGCTGCATTTAAAGACCTAACACACTTTTAAAAACCACACTGGAGGGAAAGGTCAAAGACAAGAAAGCAAGAGGTTAGCAAAGATACAAGTGGGAGGACAACATCAAGAGATGGATGGGCAGAAGTCTGAGAGAGTTTACAACCAGTACAAGGGACAGGGCATGATGGAGATCCATTGCAGCCAACCTTCACTGTGAAGATGGCACCTGATTGATTGTTTGGTGTACTCTGCTTTTACCAGAACCTTCTGCCGGAGTTTACAGCCAGTGAACAGGAAGAAGAAGACACATTTCTTATTGTTGTCTAATTAGTTTCATGCCTCTGGGAACTGAAACAGACATAATTAAATGTTCAATAAACTTAACTAACCTGGTTAACCACTGGTTTGCCACCGGCATCCAAAAAGTCCCTAATGTTTTTAGGCCCAAAGTTAGACAAACCATAGTATCGAATCTTTCCCACAGCCCTCAGTCGCTCCAGCTCTGCGATGGTTTCATTGGCATCCTTGATGAAACTGGGATAATGGATCTAGTAATACAGACAAAAAATAATTCAAAATGAGAATACTGGGGGGGAAAGATCACCCCTCTGCAATAGCACCCCATCTTCTAAAATCTGCACACAAGGTTACTAAAGACAACGCATTTCAAATCTTTCATATATCAATCAATGGCAGAACGCTGATTTCTCGAAGCTTCCGCGATTTGTCACCTGTGCCCGGAACTCTGTATTCAGAAAGAGATGGTTCTGTCTTTAAGGTTGCCTTGGTAAAAACAGTCAGTTATGTTTAATCGTTGTTGAAATTGTACTTCAGTTATATAAAGGATTCACTTATTTGCTTCATTTATGTAATTATTACTGTAGTGTGCACCTGACGAGATACAGCAAAATATGCCAAGCAATAAATTGTGCAATTTATTGTTTGTGTCTTCTTTGTTCAAAGTATTTATTTATTAACTCATAATGAGCCAGATTTCATTTAAATTGTACAAGTTTTTTCTCTGCTACAATGAGGTAAAGACCATGGGATGAATTGAATAGTGAGGCAGAGCAAATAGAGTACAGACAGACAGAATACCTCTTCTCCTGCAATCACTCACAAAAGGGAAAATGGCTCTTTGTACTGTGGTCTACAGTTAGGCTGTGATATCGGAGTCTTTTGGGTTCAAAACATCCTTAATTAATCGCCTTTTAACCATTCTGAAAGTACCCATAGCAGCAAGTTGGCCATCTGAGGTTTGCAGTTAGACAGATACAACAATAAACAAAATAAAGCTATGATCATAACTTTCATTCGTTTGGGAATTTTGTATGAGTTGGACTACAACTAGTTCTTTTCATAGACAGAATCAATTGATACCCTCCTGTTAAGACCAGTAAAGAATATAAGACAAGTAATGAATTTCAGAAAAAAATTTCAGTCAGGTAATGAATTAAAGAATAGTTATGAATTAAAAGAGATCTCACTTTTGATGAAATTTATTCAATTTATCAACAATACCTAGTGAGTCCAGCAACGTGTACAGCAAAAAGTTACCGACTACAGAACCACTTAAATTACTCCAGGCACACTTAAATTTCTCAGCTAAAATCAAATCAACTTGAGATCATATATGCACCTAGTCTTGTGAATTTAACTTTTTGAGTCCTAAGGAACGCATCATACATTCATAGGTTACTGCCTAGCAGCTCAATGAATGCATGATGCGCCAATTTTACGTCTCTCCCACCCCTGGGCCTGTGATGTTGAACCCTCTGGGACTCGAAGAGTTAAGAGACGGTTACCTGTAAGATATCAACATAGTCTGTCTGAAGATTCCGCAGAGATTTTGCCACAGCTTGTTCTATGTCCTGGGCAGAGTATGGTGGTGTTGTAGGACCTTCCCGGAAGCCATATTTTGTGGCAATCACAGCATCCTGCCTGCGACCTAGGAGAGCTCGTCCCAGGACTGATTCAGAATTTTTGTATCCCTGAGGAAGATAAAGAAAATTGAAGCAATTCTTCAGCCCCAAGTTAATTTTGATACAATGATGCTTCAACACTGTCAAAACAGGGTTAGTTGTCATGAAGAAAATTTTTAAGTGTAAAATGACACATGGAACCTCAAAAGTGATTGTGAATCTGAAAATGTAAAGGTTCACATGAAGAAAATGTGAAGTGTTTAGTGACACATGAAACATCAGCTGTGAATGTAAATCTGCAGCTGTGAAAGTCCTTTCTTTCACTGTTATCTATGAAAACGAATGAGGGGGCTGCACATTATCAAGGCATGGTGTCCGCCTCAAGTGCTAGAGGTTCCAGGTTCAATCCATGATAAGGGCTGTGATTTTTTCACGTGGACTTGGACTTCTAGTAATTCCCCCTGGTCTCTGGGTAGTGAGATCAGACTCCCGTGTACATTGCTGCGCACGTAAAAAATCCCTTGGCAGATGGAAACTGAAAAGAGTAGCCTAATGGCGCTGCCCGAGCAAAAATTTGGAGTTAAAAATCTACCCAAAGTATTTCAGGATCCTCGCCGGTGCTACAGAGCCAGTGCACTGTGCTGAGCTTCTTTGGACTCAGATTTTAATTAGAAGAAGAACGGAGAACTTATGGGATACAACTGTGTGCCATGATGTTGATCTGGTGCTCAAAATCTCAAATATATGAGAACGATAACTCATCTAGTGGTTGACTGTGGGGGTTACATTCATTTTGGCTCATCTAAAAGACAGAACAGTAACTCGTACACAAACCATGCTCACACCTCGCTGAGTTCTCACATAAGCTTCATTTATAAACAGTATGAAAGCAAAGAAGTATAAAAAACCAACACAGAACTAGTATCACCAGTTGAGTTGAGTTGATTCAAGAATTGACATCACAGCACCCAGAGCATTCCCATGTGTGCTCCATCCTCATCTTCAGCAGCCAGTGCAGAGTTCCAATACTGATGGTACCGGTCACAATCTGGCTATATGTCCATCTTGCCTTTCCTCTGAGTTTAGTGAGCCATCCAGACCCTCTGGTTACACCCAGGTGCCTCATTCTCTCCAGGCCATAATAATCTTGTTTCTCTACTGATTCCGTTGCTTGTTCCCAAAGGGCCTTGACCACATCTGCCTTGTCATGTATCAATTCACCACCCAGTGGTGCAGATCCAGCCAGTCTGTCTGCCTGTTCATTACTCACTATGCCAGCATGGCCTGAAGAAAAGATCCAAAGTATGCTCACTACCCGTGACCTTCCCAGTGAAGCTTGCCACTGCTTGAAGCATCCCTATCTTCCCCTTTCTCAGCATGCCTTTTGAAGAAACTTACTAGAACAGGCTGGGGTGCAGATGCCAACACTGTATGACAAGTATACACAGGATACGTATGACCAAAACTGGAGTATGGCATGGGAGCATACTCCACTGCAGCCAAATCAAACCTACACAGACTTGACAAAATACAGAACATTGGTCTCAGAATCATCATTGGAGGTATGAGAAGCCCACCAATCCATGAGCTGGAGGCAACTTTAGGCCCCCAGAGCTTGAGCCTTTGAAGGGAAGAAAAGGTGCTTACCCTAACAGAAAAATTTAAACGCACAAACAACAACCCCATGCACAGAATAGAATCGCCTTGAGCTTTTTGATCCCGATCTCTCCTCTTCCTATATATAAGAACAACATCTGCAAATGTCAATATTCTGCCAACTCCAGGTGTTTCCAGGTATGCAACCTTGCTCATAAAACTGGTATCACCAGCCAATACATACCGTGTGACTTACTGAGCCAGGGAGCAAAGTTGAATTTCACTAGGTTCACACGCAAATCAATTAACACCTGGTAATGCACAGACAAGAGGAACTTGCACAGCCCTAGAAAATTTGTGAAGGTCAAAAGAAATTAAAACTATTACTAAACTATAACTTTTGAATTCTAATGTCAAATCAGTCCTGTTGTATGGAGCGGAATTATGGAGAACAACTAAGCCAATTAATAATAAACTACAAACGTTTAATAATTGGTGCCTGCGCAGAATAGAGGGAATTAAATGGTATGATAGAATCACTAACAGAGAGCTCTGGGAGAGAACTAAACAAGTTCCAGTGGACCAAGAGGTGAAGAAAAGATGCTGGTGTTGGATAGGACACATGTTGAGAAAACCTGAGAACAATACAATTAGAATGTTTTTGCACTGGAACCCACACAGGCACAGAAATAAAGGAGGACCAAAAACACATGGAGAAGGGAGCTAGAGAGTGGGATTAAAAAGATGGGGAGGATATGGGGAGAGCTGCATGCAATAGCGAAGGATAGAATGACCTGCATTGGAGGTTAGAAATACTCCCTGGGTACAGATCCCAGAAACCCTGTTCAACTGTAAGGTTATACTGGAGCCACTCAATGGTCTGACAGTGGGGCCCCCACAGTGAAAGTAAAGGACCCTTTTTTGCACCTTTCAGGTATACTGGGTATATAGGGCTAGATCTAAATTTTATAGAACAAATGCACATGGTGGGTGATATGGTCAGCATCACGCCGGCCACCTTTACTTCCCAGGACTGTACCTGGTACCCACTCATGGCTGGGTCAATGTGGAAGCCGTCATTTTTGAAAAAAATCCGTACTTTTTCAAGAACCGACATCTATCCACTAAACCACAGCAGCTCCCAATATATATATATATAAAATTTAAATATTCCAGCAGTCAATTAGAACTAGACAATATTCAACTAACCTCCGCAGTGTCAAAGAAGTTGATTCCCAGCTCCAAGCACTTGTCCACGATGACCTTAGATTCCTATTGTACCAGAAAAAAATTCAAATGTAAAATAAAGCCCACAAACAAAACAAATAACAAAAAGTATTAGAGAAAGGTAGCCACAGTTGGAAAAAAAAAAACATCACACAGAAGAGAAAATTGCAGTAAATACATTTGTACTTACTCACCATCCGATTTGTATCATCTGCCTGACAGGCAAGAAACCAACAGTCTGCATATAACTAAGCAAGATTTGTAAAATGGATATGCATGCGAAATTCAAGTTCTGGAAAAAGACTTAAGATCAGAAGTGAATGATCAACCGTAGGAGTTTACAGCCGGTAAAAGCTAAGAAGAAGAAGACGAAGAAGAAGAAGGAGGAGGAGAAGGAGAAGGAGGAGGAGGAGGAGAAGAAGAAGGAGGAGGAGGAGGAGAAGAAGAAGACGAAGAAGAAGAAGGAGGAGGAGGAGGAGGAGAAAAAGAAGACTTTCACATTTAACTAATTCAGTACAAAGTGAACTCCATCTGAGTTCCACCTGAAATGCCACACTTCTTGAATTACTTGACAACAATATCAATCTTTAGGATCTTCCCATGATCTTTTCACCCAAGTACAAACCTCTCCTATAGTTAGTTTCTTCACACTACTGGCTGATGTTAAATTCTCCCCTGAAGACTTCATCCATCGGTTCCATTCATCTCTCATGGCAATTTGGAAAGATTTTTTAATGCTGACATCAAGTGGTTGCACTTTAGCAGACACATGAATTTCCAATGTAAGAAGTGTGAAACAATGAGCGTGAAGACGACTGCAAAAACTATTACAGCAGAAAAATAAATTTTATAAATTGTTTCCCTAAGGAGGCCCGTATGGGATATTTTCTAACAAATCGTTTGGTAAAAATTTACTACCATTGTCTAAGAAACACATTTTTTTTTTTTTAGACCCTATATTTATTTAGATAACCTGTATCATACTTAGAGAACTACAGTATTTTTTACATAGTAATTTTTTGCTTCCATTCGTTACATTAACCCTCTCTATCCAACCTGTTAAAAAGGTTCAGTACAGTTACAAGAAAAAGAAGCAGGCCATTTAAAAAAAAAAAAAAAGTTACAAAACTGTGCTGACTGGAAAGGTCTTAACCCTTTGGAGATGGAACCTTTTTAGAGTTTCTGTGCCAAGAAGACAAAGCCTTCAGGTGGGGATTTTCATAGTTTATACACAAAAAATTATAAAAAATAAAGCGTTTCATTAACATATACAAAACTATATATATATATATATATATATATATATATATATATATATTCATTTAGGAAACTGAATGAACTAACTAACAGAATATGTATGAATCAAGCTGAAATCTCAGCATTTATTCGATTAACTATTCTGATTCACATAATTTTTGCAAGCAATTTTGATGAAACTTGTAACGAAACATAACCTGAAAAATGTGGGTGAATTTTTTTAATGGATGAAGCTTGAATAAGTCCTAACATCTGTATTTTTGGAAGTAAGGCCCAAGGAGGCCCTTCAGACACATGTGACACATGGTTCTACTCATTTTCCTGCCTCCAGCCATGTTTCAGTTGCTATGATGCAACAGTCTTTGACGACTTTATTTGGGACAGGTAACCCAAAAAACAAAATCGATGTAAAATCATTGAACACATCAAACTTTCTTGAAAGCTGTCAATAAACAGCCCACATGTGCAAGAAATGCGAGAAGCAGTCTGACTGGCTGGTGCGAAAACCTGCCAGCCAATATCAAGGCTTTTATTACACAGGGCTGACCGATCGACCCAGCGGTACTTCTGGCTACTTTGCGTTGGGCCAATATTTCCGCTGCGTCATCTCCAGAGTCAACTGCATCTGACCGACGGAGGTGGACAGAACTAATCATTCAGTCAGTAGGAACTGAGAAGATAAAGAGACTAGTTAGAAGTTAAAAAAGCTTTTCATAGAACCAGGTATATTAACATAGAGAACCCTTTTTGACACCATTAGGTATATTGGGCATGCAGGACTAGATCTATATTTTCTAGACCAGTGGGCACTTGGTAGGAGATGTGGTCAGCATCACGCCAGACCAGTTAAATTGAAAAGATAAAATGAGGAATAACTCATAAGCACTGCCAGAGGAGGAGAGCGACGAAGAGCAAGAAGCAGACCAAGTACAATTTAGAGAGATACCATCGGAGAAACTCTACAACAGTTCAATGTATCTATGGCTGAGATAGTGAGATAGCATCAGAGAAACTCTACAACAGTTCAATGTCTCTATGGTTGAGGCTACCAGAAAAGCAGCACTTTATATCTCCGACACTTGACAAGGTTTAAAAAAAAAGAAAGAAGAAGTTAAAGTAACAACAGATTGGTACTTTAAGAGTTAATAACATGTAAACAGGCCTAATTTTTCACTGCTTTACAGAGGAAGCGTGAGACAGAAATTATTTTCAAATTTTTTTTTAAACATTAAATATTTTCTAGTGTATCTGTTTCTTGTACATGTTTTACATGCATGCAATTTGAGTCTCTATAACCACTTTAATATATTTTTATCTCAACTATTTCCAGTCCCAAACCCGAATGCAAAAGGAAAAGTCTTGGGCACTGGGCCAGCTCACCCACTCTATAAAACAACCATCTTGTTACACCATCCAGAGGTGACGGACTGAATTCCCTGTATCCAGTCTTCTCCATTTGGTTGTCCATGGACCTCTAAGGGTCCGTGGAATAAATTTAAGGGGTTTGCGATTTTAATTACAAAAATAAAACCTCAACTTAGTAGGTAGTATGTTTGTCCTTCCGAACAATAACATCTCCTTCTTTCTTCTCAGCACCACCCTAGCAGGCACTCGACTTTTTTCATCAATGTGAAGTGGTGTTACATTTTCACATATTCATCTATCTGCTTCTACATTTATGTAATTTAGTTTTAAACAGCGTTTGTATTAAGCATTGTTTAAATTATCTCATACAACGACAATCTGCCAATAACTGTCTTTTTTTAAACACTTTTGCGGTGTAGGCAGGGGGTCTTTGAGCCTGAGGATTTACGGTCGTATTGCTAGTTCTGTCACCATGACTGTGCAGGTGAGGAATTTATTTTGCCCCCGACAGAAAAAATTCCCAGCCTCACTGAGGATTCGAACCCGGGTCTCCTGCTTGACAGCCCAACGTTCCAACCGTTCGGCCAACCGCTCCTCTACAACCCCATCAATCTACAGTATGTCAATAACAAAAGGATTTTTCAGGGAAATGGATTAATAATTCTCACTCTATTTCTTTTTATGGAAAAATCTGTTTGGTGTATGTTATGAGTCCAAGGATCTGGTACAGATTAAGGATGTACACCAAGGTTCCATTGTGCTTGCTCTGCAAAAAAGTTAGCTTAGTGAAAGATAACCTTTTCACATAAATTTACTATGTTAAACAAGAGAAACACTTCTCCTTTACTCAAATCCCCCAGCACGTTATCAGTGACACACGCACACAGTGCATGCACACATGTTAACATGAACTACTACCACAACTGCTATCTGTTAAATGTCCTGTCCTTGGGAAACACTGCCATATCTCAACCTGAGATAACGGAGTGCTCTTTCAACTGAACACTAACACATTCAATCTTCTGAAACCAACTTGACATAAAAACTATGGCTTCGTGTGTTCATGCAACAAATGCAGAAACAAAGAAAGAAAAAAACAAATTTTATCATGAATCAATATTTTTTTCTAAAACTAACTCATAGCTTATTGCCAAGTCATGACAGCAAAAGGAAAAACAGATAAAAGACTGCTTCTATGACATTGTAGCAAATTGTGCTAATCATCATCATCATCATTTTCTAGAAGAAACTAATATCAGTTGACTGAAAAGATTCATGGTTCCTTGCCAGTGACTTCCGGCCAAAATAGAGGAAAGGTTTGGCAGAATGTTAAGCTTCAAAGTTATTTTGCTTCATACAGCACTTTGCTAATGCAGTTTCCACATAAGGACGGTAGTCTATGGTTTCGCTGCCTGAGCTACTGAGTATAGTGCTTGGTTGCTGCCCTGTAAGCTGTATTTTTTCCTGTGGAATCCCTTTCATTTGCGCATCAGATGTGTTCAGTATGACAGGTAGCCGGGTTACGTGTGAGTTGGTGAAATACATTATGTAATAATTCTACATGTGTTTAGTAACCAACTTATCGTGCCCGACTTCTTCCATGAACGACAAACTGAATTTCTGGTGACGATTGTTGACTTTGGCGCCTCTAGCAACTGAAACATAGCACATATTTCTGGATTGTTTCGGGACTAATTGTCTGTTCACCAGTTTTTCAAATGCGACAGTGAGGGACATTTCATTTGATTTGCACTGGCAGAGGAACGGAGCAAGTCTGGGGAAACCCGATTGGTGTGATGTTGAAACCTCGACTAAGACTAAGACTTGCCACTTCCCCTAGCTCATGTATTTTTACAAATCAGAAGCAGCTTTGAGCCAGGAAAGCTGTTGTTTCTGAGACAAATGTTGCAAATACGCTGGACAGTGGGATTAAAAAACAACAATTGCCTAAAGACTAACTTCTTCTTATTGTTCATCAGCTGTAAACTGAAGCAGAACGTTCTCGTTGTTCATCGACTTTTTTATTCCAGAACTTGAGTTTTGTGTGCACATTTATTTTACAGATCTAGTATATGTGTATGCAGACTGTTGGTTCCTGGCCTCTCAGGCAGATGCATTCTGTTCTTTGAAAGAAACTTTTAAGTAGCTGACTCTTACAACATACTTTTTTTGGGGGGGGTGGGGGGGGGGGGGGAATGGGTCTACTCGTTTCCTTCTAAAATGGGGCACTGGAACTGACACGGAAAGTTCTCCCCATCACAATGGGGCCCTGAAACTCCCACAGAGAAGTCTCCTCATCACTATAAGCTCTGACTCCCATGCCTCCCTGTAGAATAATGCAACTCTACAGTTTTAAAAGTTGGAAAAGTGCCAATTTTTACAGAAATAAATACACATCTATAAGGAAGAGACAGAATTCCTTG